ATTTTTAATCCGAATGGCATTACGTTCCATTCATATTGTCTAAATGGAACATTAAATGCAGTTTTATATTATATCTTCTTTTTTTATTTGTATTTTCCAATAACCAGATTTTAAATCAAATTTTCAAAAGATTGTAGCAGTAGCAAGTCTATCGAGTAAGTCTTTTTTATTAGGTATTGGATACCTAATCCATTGTAAAACGTTATTCAAAGGTTTATAATTTATTACTAATCTTAGTACTCCTCTTTCTTTTTCCGCATTTTTATTGACATAAAAAGCAGCACAGCTCCAAGGAGATGCACTTATTCTTATTAGATTTTTTCTTTGTAATTCATTAATTTCTTTTTTACAAAATTTTGATAAGGTTGTATTCATTTGTACTGGTCTAGCTTTGGTAGGAATTTTTGTTTCATCAAATCCTTTTTCGTAAGGTAATCCTACGATATGTTTCTTTCTTTTCCAAAAGGCATTGGAAATGTCACCACAAATTTCTGTTTCTATTTGAGTCCGAAGATTATTAATTTTTGTTATTATCTCAGGGTTTTCTAAGTCTTCTTCTATTTGTTTATATTTTATTTCTATTTTAAGGGAACATAGAAACTTTTCTTTATTATCTATTTTGTCTTTGACTCTATTTATTTCTTTAAGTTTTGGTTTTTCTAAAAATTCAAACTTAATTGTTTGTCCTACTCTAGATGTTTCTATTTCTGTATTATTAATTGTTATGGGATATAGTAAGGTTAGGAATGGAATTCCAAGTATGAATGCCTGACTTAAGTTTTTTACCATAATAAAAGGTGTTGTAAAACAGTGTCCGTTTTTGCATACCATGGCATTTGATAATTTGTATTTAATAAATAATCTACTACCATCAGCAGTATTAAGTATTTGAGTAGTTTTATCAAAATATTTTGATGGAACTAAACCTTTATTAATACAATTTAAATCTGCACCTGAATCTACTAAAGCTAATGTTTGAAAATTATATTCTTCTTCAATGACAATTTTTACTAATATAAACCATTTTTGGGAAATAATTTTATTTACTAAGTTTACAGATATATTTTCTTCAACTTCTTTGGTTCCGGAGGTTTCTAGTTCTATATAACTTGGATCTGCTAGTTGATCAAATTCGATTTCATCTGTATCAGTTACAGTTCCTTATATGTTATTTTGTAATTCTAATATTTTGATTCTAGTTTTTAATTGTCCTACTTCTGTTTTTATTTCATTTACTTCTTTTTTTTAATTAAGATATTGTGGGTTCTCTTAGAAGTATATCTTTTTTATTAATTCATTTGTGTATTTCAACAAAATTGTAATCCTCTGGTGGTTTGAGTAATGGAACTGGTTTATTTTTTGTTTTTGTTAATGTGATAAATTGGGTAATAATTTCTGTCTTTTTTTCGGGATCATTTATTTTTTCTATAGGGTCTAATATTAATGTATCTTCTTTGGATAACATATTACAGGAACATTCTTCTATGTTCTGTTCAGATTCAGATTGTTCTGTTGAGGACATGAAATAATCTTCATCTTTTATTTGTCCTACCATTGTAGTATCAATGGAAGATTCAGAAGAATCATCATCATATATTTGTATTATATCATATAGTTTATTTCTAATGGATTCTTCTAAGATTATAGTATCTATTTTCTTTTTTATTTTACATTGGCTTTTGTAATGACCAACTTTTCCGCATTTATAACATACAGATAATTTCCTTTTACCTTTATGATACTTGTATTTTGGAGAGAATCTTTTTATGAATTTTTCTTTTTTATGTTTTTTATAAGATTTATTTTCTTTTCTCTCTGTTTTATATTTTTTTTGTTATGAAATTTATCTTTAGATTTCTCTATATGATATCCGAATTGTTCACATAAGTCTCCTAATTCTTTTTTACTAGTCATTTTTTGTTTATCTAATTGTTTCTTTAATTTCATGTCTTTACATAAGGCTAATCCTTCTGCACATATTTCTGCAGATAATTCTCGTAATGTATAAACATAATATGATATTATTCCTCCATTTTTATTTTTTAATTGTGTTTTTACCTTTTCTGTAAATAAATATGGTAATCCAGCAATAAATTTTTCTTTCCAATGGTCTTGCTGGCTATCTTCTCTACTTAATAGTCTGGAAAAGAAAACATCTTTGTACCATTTATAGTGAGATAGGGTTGGACATCTTAAATTAGATAACAAATCTTCAGATCGGGCTTCAAGTAAGGCTGTACTCCCCACAAAATGAAGTGTGATGGTGTAAATGAGAGTATTAACAGCATCACTTTAGGAATATAGAACGTCTTGATTATTTTCATTTTTAACAGTCCATTGGCGAGTATTATTCAGAATTTGTTGTTTTGTATTTTCAGGTAAGTGGAAATCCCACCAACCTCGAAGCCATCCTGTGAAACCACGAACAATGGCTTTGGCGACCTCTTGAACATGGTTGCCTACCATTTTGCATGCAGAGGCATACATGGTCATATGTTTCATAGTGTCTAATATTTGTTGTTCAGATAATCCATCTATATTCCAATTTACTATTGATCTTCCTAAATAGGAAATATTCTGGGCAACCAAATCTTCTTCGAATTCTATATCAACAGGGGTAGGTCTATGATGATAGGGCCTAGCTGTTAAAGGTTTCCATGATTTTCCATATACTATTCTTTGAATATTATTATTATCTTGTTCATGACTATTTTCCATAAAGGCTTCTTCCATATTTTCTATTGTGTTAACAATTATAGGTGTCTCTTCTTGTAATGTTAATGTTGATGATTCAGGGATTTCTGTAGAAATTTTTTCTTTTTCTTTGTCTTGAATTTTTAAAGTTTTTTCTTTAATTTCTAATTTAGATAATTTTGATATTAATTGGTTCATTAGGGTTTTATTATCTTCTCCAAAATTAAATCTTTCTTTATCAAGTGATGGAGGTGGTTTAAATCAAACATTTTTGGATTATTATTATTATTATTATTATTATTATTATTATTATTATTATTATTATTTTTATTTTATTTTATTTTTATTATTATTATTATTATTATTATTATTATTATTATTA